ACCGAGTCTGATCTAATTATCATCCACTGCAGGCTCAACGTCGACTTTGTAACATCACGTGGTAACTTAGCACGCATACTCAACGTTCTTAACGGAAAGGACGGCAAAGATTGGACTCTACTAGCCACACGTTATCGTGGAACAGTTTATCTAAGCCACATTGAAGCTAACAACGATAAAGACCTGTCTTCCTTTGGAAGGAGAGTATGTTACTGGGGTAAAAGATTTGAAGTGGAAGTAACTAACGAGAGAGCACCCAATGAGGGAACAGAGCGGGAAACATTGAAACATGGTCCAATGAAGGCTTACCCAGGGTTCTTTTCAGTCGTGCGATTTCAGCTTGAAAACCACACCATTGCGTTGCGGACAGAGGTTGACGCAGAAAATCAAGTAAGAAACATTTACTTTCGGGTCTTATTAATTTACCTTACGAATCCCCGACCCTGGGCAAAAACACAACATTTTAAAAGTTATAAAAGTTTCATTTTACTCAAATTTAATTCCTCTCAAACCAGCAAGAACGTTCGTTCTTCAAATAACTCATCAGTTGACCTTTTCAACATTTCAATACTTCAGCTCTACCTTTTGACAATATTTATCGGCTTTGACAATCACGATTTACTTCTTTGCTTGCACATTGATTCATGGCAGAATCATCACAAACCAATCTAAAATAATTGTGCTCACACAATAACGAAAAATTTTGTTGGCCAAGATTTGTTTTCTTTCGTTTATCTCACTTTTTGGAAAGAGTTTCTGTGAGAGATTCTCTCTTGGTTTCTGACTGCTGAGGCAGGGAATTTAGGCAGGGAGGATGAAAGTTGTCTGGACCATTTTTCTATTTTAGAGTGTGGGGGAACAGCCTGCAGAATATGTTGAACTGAAGATTACAACCGATACAATTGTACGCGCTCATTGGGCTTTCAACAAAAAGAGGCTCGTTCCATGGTGGTGTCAGTCGATCGCAGCTGGTGTACCTCTGATTGTATACGGTATCCGGGACTATGACGGTCACGTGCGATGTATCCAAGAAGTCAAAACCGAAGAGATTCCGGACCGCGTGGGGCTAGAAAATCTTGACAGAGACAAGTACTTGCTGTTCCTGAGCGATATGCTCTCTTGGATTAAGAACGATGTCTGCAGAAATGAAGATGATGTTTACATCATTAGCTGGGATCCTAAAGCGCATGGCATGGACGTAGCCGTCAAAGCGAACCTGTTGCCTGAAGACATGGAAAATTCATTTTTACGTGATTGGTACGTCAGGGAGATAGAAGATTATTTTTCTCGCCGAGGAAAGGATCGGGAGGAAATTTTGAAAGATCATACATACGGGACTCGTGATTCTGTTGAACAGCCGTTGCCCCGTTTTCAGACCGCTGGTTACGACACGCCTGTTGCGCATGCGTACTCGGAAACTAAAGGCTACGTAAAAGAAACGACAAAAAAGAAAGAAGATTTGCAAAAGGGGCGTAAGGAAGTGAGGGAAGACCACATGAAAGATCGTTTTGAGGAATCTTGGCTGGGGATAAAACAACCCGAAATTTTGTCCACCGATCGCCGAGAACATTATTCAGATAAATGGACTTTATCTACCAATGAAACTTACAGCTGCGATTATGAAGAGCCACGTGATAGGGAGAAGGGTTTGCATTATCAAGAGTCCTGGGATTCACGTTATGATGGTGAATGTCGCCGAAGTATACAGGAAGTAGCTGACACCGAATCCTACTCACAACTTGAGTCTTTCAAACATAAGGAGCAAAGAAGACCAGAGTACACAAGACTACGGGAAAAACGTCGAGAAGAAGTACGTCGGACATCATCCTCCGCTACAGAGAGGACCGATAACCTCTTAAAACGAAATTCTCGATCTCATCACCAATCCTCACCATACCCCTCGCGAAGTAGGGCAGCAAAATATGATGAAACACATCGATATGCGGGACAAAGACGCACAGGACACGACGCGTTGCAAGGCAGAGAACGGAGAGGGCCAATACCTGATCATTCACGTCCCCGGCGATCCAGGAACGAAAGTCACTGTCCGGCTCCTCCTAGAGATGAACGCACCTCTGACTCAAGGACAAAAGGAGTCACGAGTTACGCAAACTACAATGCGAGAAGGTCTCGCCGCCGTTAGCAGTCACGTGCTAAAGGAAATGATCAAGACTAAAATACTAACTGCATTTGTAGCCCTCTGAAATCAACAGTAGCAATCAGACTGTAAACGTTACTGTTTACCTACTTTGAAAAGAAAATCTGTACTTTATGGACAGAATAGCTTTATCTTCGACTGGAGTTTTAACCTCCGTTAATCAGGGCCGGCGTGAATAACAATGTGATCATGAATCCCTAGATCTGAGATGGTTCGTAAAAGTTAGTTGAAAAGGTCTGACGGACCTGCACTCGACTAGAACAATTTAGATGAATGAAGCATAGACTGATCAGAATAAGAAGTGTATTCCTTTTTATTAACCTTTCGTGTTGAAGAGTATAGCATAAAAGGAAGCTAAACAACAACTTAAAAATGCTTCCTGAACAAAGGTATACAAATTTTGATTTCGAGAGATTATATCAAGATGAATTCTCTCACCGATCGGTCGCAAATAAACTGCTGGCGGACGTGTGTCAACCATTGCGCGAAATCCAGGAAAGTTCTTTTCGATCTTCCCCAATCCCTGAACAATACCGTTTAAATAATTCGCCAACGTTGGGTCAGAAGATCTGAACTTATTCCAAAAATTCCCCTGGGCGCTAACAGGTAAAATTGAACCATGCATAAAACTTTTACAGGGCCATCTTTAGTGCCTGCCTCAAAGCGGCATTTCTGTAAATCTGAATAACAGGGTTAAGACTGGATATCAGATGAGTGAACGTTGAAGCCCAAGGAAAAAGAATATTCCCTGAAACAATGCTGTTTTCCACATTAAGCAGCAGCAGAATAGGAAAAATGGACAGTAACGTCGCTACTGTGTACAATGTCATATCTGTGAAAGCCTTTTTCTCTCTTCTAAAAAGGATCGCTTGTTGGGAGTTGTGGGTAGCATTAACGATCTTTTTGTTGTTAGTGCGGATTGCGCAGAAGGTCAAAACGTGTCCGCCGATGGGGATAACAATCAATAAAATCATTGTGATGTTTTCCAGTGGTTGATAAACCTCCTCATGGGCTGAAGTTTCCAGAGGGATTACGTAGATGAACCAGATTAACCATGCGCAAAGCACAATCTTCGCCATTCCTGAAATATAATTTTTTGTACAATTTAAGAGTTATTAACTATGGAGAATTGTAGATAAAATTAATTAAGTTTCCAGAGGGATTACGTAGATGAACCAGATTAACCATGCGCAAAGCACAATCTTCGCCATTCCTGAAATATAATTTTTTGTACAATTTAAGAGTTATTAACTATGGAGAATTGTAGATAAAATTAATCATTATCTCATCTGTACCGGAAAAAATACATTCCTTCAGTCTTTCTTTGTTGTTTTTGTTGTTTTTGTTGTTTTGTTTTATTTGTTTTATTATTTTTCTTATTGGAACCGGCAGTCTAAAGCAAAATTAAAGCTTTCAGCTACTACTAAAAATGTGTGATTTGAAAGCGGAACCTGACAAGGCTAGAATGTAGGCCGTATTATGGGGCCTCAAGACCCCGTTACATGATAATTGTATTAAACATGTTTTGAGTCTTCACAGGAAATAACTTGCTTGATAAAGAGATTTCGTTTCTACCAACCTGTTGAGCTGAATATTGCCCACTAAGAGAACCAATTGCAAGCTTTCACACGCAGTTACAACCGGAAGACTTTGTATTTTTGTACCAGATCGAAAAATTAGAAGCGAAACATTGGGATTGGCATTTGTGAAGAGATGAATTTAATGTGAGATCATCCTTGTCGTCTGAGCAACCTAATCAAATTCGAATTCCGCGGCCCCCCCAAAAAATTTATAAACTTGACTCGGAATACAGCAACAACAACGGGCTTAATAACAAAACGAAACATAGGTGGATGATTATTTATGGTCATTTGCTTTGAAGCTCTCAAAGCAAACACAATCTGAGTTCTAACGGTAGCAGGAGTCTACCGCAATTGTACATACATACCTCGCAGTGTTACTTTGACCGAATAGGCAATTGGTTTCCAAACAGCGTACAACCTTTCGACGCTTGTTATTGCCAAGTGCAGGAACGTGCAACCGATAAGGAGAAACGGAAGAGATTTACTGGCTTGGTAAAGATGAACCAATTTGCAAGGATCTTTAGTGTGATGCAGCAGAAAGCGCCATGCTACGTAGACAGGTTGAACAACTAGGCCGGTTAGAAAATCAGAGGCAGCCAGGCTACACAGCAACACGTTAACTGGACGGTGGAGTGAAGGAGAGCGGAATATGGTGACTATAACAACCAGGTTAGCGATCACTGCGAACATTGCGGATGGAACGTTTACGAGGATTATTGAAGTGTCACTGATGTAAACAGAAGGGTCGTTGACGGCATCCAGAATCCAAGAGGGGAGACATGGCTTAGAACTGTCTCTGTTTAAGACTGTGCTGTTAGCTATATTGTTTAATCCTCCCTTTTCATCAATATGCATGTTTCTTCAGTTTTTTTATTCGGAAATAAATATGCTGTCTTATGATACTGCAAAACAAAATTCCACAGACTTGCTACCTGAAAAAACGGGGAATGTTGTAAGTTCATTATTTAATGGAGATACAGCTACTCATTATGATGCAAAATTTGACTCAGTCTCACTGTGAGTGGCACTGCAAGCAAGTGTATTTATAATTATTTTGTTCTTTCAGGATTTTGTTGCGTTTAATACCTTATCATCAATCCTATATCTTCTTCACTCACTTCAATAATCATATTTTCTGCACCGAAAACTCCAAGCGGAATGTTTGTTTCAACTCAGGAAAAATTGCCGTGGTTCAATTATCGGTAACGACCGGCATGGGACCAGTTTCCTTTTTGCTTCACTATTTTAACTGAAGGAGCCAACAGATTTAAAAGGATTGAACGTTTCTTTGATCAAAATTCGGCACAAGCAGCCAGTAAAGGATACAAACAATGAATTCTCAATCAGAAAGAATAAACAACTTATTAATTAATTCAACATTTAATTTCACGGTGCCAGTACCACCAACTTACATTACATTTCAGTTGGTCAATATTTTACTGATTGTGGTAACAAAACTTTACAGAATACTTTTAGCTTTCCTCTCCTGGGCTTTTTTTTTTAATGATGAACACTTTGAGTGAACAAGAAATTGGTGTAAACATATCAATAGGTTAGGCAGTTGAGTGTTCGTTAGTAAAAACCTAGGCGTCCATGTCAGCAAAACCTGTTCGTTGAACTTATCACGTTTAAAAACCTAGCTATTTCCTAAACTGAATGTTTTGCCTAAATATATTAGTTATTAAATTAAACGGAAACTCTTCGGACAGCTCGCTTTCCTTTTTGTGCTATCCTCCTCCTTTCGATTTGCCGAACCGGAGTTAAGTTTTCCTTTAGTTAAATAATTTCAGCCAGTGATTTTATAAAAATAAATAAAAAGAAATTAAACAAAGACCTACCTGTAAACGTAATTACTAAGTTTTGCCTTTAATCACTGAGGTACATTTCCAAAATGTACGTTGAACTTCACACTATAACGTGTTGAACATAATAACCTGCCTGTTGTTGGTCGTAATATTCGAAAGTGGTATTTGAACTACTAGGAAAAGCAAATTATGCCGTAATTATGCTTAAAACTAGACCATAAATTATATTGGCTTTACCTTAGTAAGCGTCTCGTTATAGTTTTCAGTTTCTCAGACACCATATGAGTAATCGAAATATTAATCCTACACTGGAGAGCATATTAATTGTTTTCGGGGAAACTAAGTCATATAAGTCAGTCGATGTTACAGCCTCCGTTTTTACAGTCTGATTGACGAAAATTGCTGTGGGTACATTTGGAAACACTGTGCGTTGATTTTTTTAAAATTTTTAATCCTGTTTCAAAAATAGCTTTAAAGCCCAGGAATGCCCGAGTGTCACGTTTTTGCCATTTTTGCCGTTCAGTCGGAAGTTGCTGTATTGTTTGGGAACCTAAAATTTATTATGCATATGTCATTTATGTAATGATCACACAGACAGCTGAATATCGTTACTATCCAATCAAATGTGTACACCAAACACAGCTGACTGATTCCGTTATTTCGTGATGAGGGTGGTAGATATGTTACACTTGTGACAGTTTACTTAACAAAAACAATAGTTTTTTAGACTCGGCCGCGGCTTAGCGTCCGAGGCTTTTAAGTTTTTTTTTCTTATTATTACTACTGATTTAGTGGAAGTTTAGTTGACAAATTGATCGAAATTAAAAGGAGTAAAAACGTTGTGGATAAAACTTCCTATTCACAACTGCGCATCTCCTATATCACGTCTTGTTTGCCCCTCAAATTTTGCATAACCTTGGCTTTTTTCCCCCTGGGCATTTAAGTGGCTTCAATAGAAACTGTAGGCAATACGGATGGAGATCTCCGATGGTTGGGGAGGGCGGGGGGGGGGGGGGGGGGGGTATTTTATAAAAAAAAAAGGGATTAAAACTTTGTTTGTAAAACTTTCTTTTCCCACCTGCCCACCCCCCTTTTCCCCTTTTTTTTTGCCCCCAAATTTTTATATCCCTTGGGTTTTTTCCCCCGGGGATTTTAGGGGGCCCCAAGAAAAAGGTGGGGGGAAGGGGGGCCCAATCCCGGGGGGGGGGGGAGGGGGGGGGGGGGTGGGGGGCGGAAGGGTGATAAGGTAAATGCGCACATGACGAATTGCCTCAACTGAGACCCCATTCACTAAAGATTAAGGGTAAACGGTTTGCTAAGGTTTATAAGGAAATGTAGGAACAGTTGGGTCCCCCAGGGTAGCTCGGGTATATAAGGTATATAAGGTGTGTCGATACGGTTGGTCAGTCTCCTGGTGAAAGATATATTTTCCTACTATTTTAGCCGAGAAAAGTAAAGCGCGGAGATATTAGGCACTGCTAAGAAGAATGCAAAGTCTACAGGCCTAAACGACAATAATAATGGTAACTAGAAATTCGCAACAACTAAAAATAATACTAACAAAGAAAATTATCCATTTAAGTGCTTGGTCCCTGAGAGGATATGTAGAAACCAATGCGATATGCTTCCATTTTGGATAGAAGAGTCCAAGATCGCCTCTAAGGTCTACATATCAGTTATTGCCAATTTCCAACAGAAAAGTAGCTAAACCCAGACGAATAAAACGGCCAGTGAACTGCCCTTCTCCTCTAGATTAGAGAGCTATTTTATATCGGATAATGTAAGCAAGTAAGGATAACGGCTGGTAGCATAGCACTCTGACTGCATGCCGCTATCAAAAGAAGCTAACAGTATGCCAAATAAAGGACAATAAAAAAACTTCCTAATGCCATTCAAACCTTACTAAACTAAATTTATTAGCTTATGGTAGGGATGAGCCTTCATAACAAGTGGTCGACGAATATTGATATCATTTTCTGAGTTGATGAAACTCTGTCTCTCGTTCATTGCATTTGCCACCTTTAGCGTGCCCATCGTGAAAACCGTGTTAACGTTCCACTGGAACACTGCGCCAAAAGAGCCAAGCAACTACGTCAATGTTTTCGCCCGGTGACATCAGCCAGCCAGGTCAACTCCTGAGAATACTAAGATATCATTCTCGACGCAGTCAGAAAACATATCCCACTAAAATTCTTGATTATTTCATTTATAAAACATCACCTTATACAGCAGATTAACCTTAAGATGTTTTTTTAGTTAAAGTTTATAATATCGAGACACCAGATTCAAAGCTTCTTATTAACCCACCTTAAAAACACATGGTTTGGCCTTTCATAACGGCCTTAAAATGTATATCATTCCAAATTGAACTACTAGAAAAAGCAAATTATGCCGTAATAATGCTTAAAACTTGACCATAAATTATATTGGCTTTACCTTTATGTCTTCAATCTTTGTACTCCAACACACAAGAACAGTAATGTTCTAGATCTTATTATCACAAGATCAGGTGAGACATCTGTCTCAAGATTTATCAGTTCACGATCCTCTCATTTCTGACCACTTTGCAGTTGACTGCAGCCTGGCTATCAAGAAACCACCTAACGCGAAACTCACTGTCATGACTCGTAAACTATGCAACATTGATTCAGACAGTTTATGTACTGATATTCGCTCCTCTTCACTATACAACTCACCTTCGTTGGACCTGTTACAGCTCCAGTGTGATAAATATGATTCAGAATCTGTTCTTTCTTCGATTTTGGATAAACATGCTCCTTTACGTAAAAGAGTCATCACTATTAGGCCTCGTGCCCCTTGGTACAGTGAGGAAATCAAGGAGCAGAAAGTGACCTGTCGTAGGCTTGAAGGGCGATGGTGTCATTCCCGACTCACTTCCGACTATCAAGCAATCTTATACCGAACAACGCACTGTTGTAAAGAACACTACTAAAGAAATTATCCTGAAGATTGTCAACTTGTCACTGGAATCCGGTCATTTTCCGTCTTCTTTGAAAACTGCTGTTCTATCGCCACTACTTAAGAAAGTCAACTTAGATCATGAAGTTCTTGAAAACTACAGACCTATTTCAAACCTCAAGGTAAACTCAAAAATTATTGAAAAGGTCGTCGCAGTACGTCTTCAAAAATATTTAGAAGCCAACCAGCTAAATGAGCCGCTACAATCTGCCCATAAACCTTTCCACAGTTATGAAACCGCCTTTGTGTGCGTTCATAATGACATTTTGGTTGCTATTGATAAACGTCACTGTGTTATGCTTCCACTGTTAGACCTGTCTGCTGCCTTCGACACTGCGGATCACGATATCCTCCTTACAAGATTGCACTCTAAATACTCTATCTCTGGCATAGCTCTAGAATGGTTTCGCTCCTACCTTACTAATCGCTCGCGCTTGAATTTGCGTTAATCCAAAGGTGTAGATCACAGTCCGCGCGAGCTCAAGTGCGTGTACATTAAGGTTCTGTCCTTGGACCGATTCTGTACGGTACTCTACACAGCACCACTGGCCGACATTCTACGATTCCACGAAATGCAATTTCACTTTTACGCCGATGACCCTCTATTGTATATTTCTTTCTCTACAAACAACGACATGGAATTAACCAACAGTATCACTAAGATTGAGGAATGCCTGTCCGACATTGATGAGTGGATGTCCATCAACAGACTAAAACTAAACAAAGACAAGACCGAGCTTCTCTACTTATTCTCAAAGTATAATCCACAACAATCCCTACCCCCTCTTCGCTTTGGAACTGACACAATCAAGCCCTCTTCACATGCAAGAAACATTGGCGCTATCTTCGATACCACTATGTCAATGCTTCCCCATGTAAACAATGTTTGTAAATTTGCCTTTTATCACCTTCGCACCATTTCGCACATAAGGAAGTAGTAGTTATCAACGCAAACTACTGAGATTCGTATTCACCCCTACGTAACTTCCAAACTCGATCACTGCAATTCTCTACTATATAATGGCATAATAATCGCATTTTTCTAGTTTAGTATTAGAAATATGGTCTTTCACTGTATATTTCCTAGGAAAAGGGCGATCATTATTACATCCAAACACGGCACAAGGATCTTCTCCCCCATTACAACCCTATTCTAAGAAAACTTTAAGAAAAAATGTCCCGAAAAGCCCTCGAAAATACAAACGAAATGTGCTCATGTTCCCTGGGCATCCTATAATACTCCTTAAATCGAATTAATTCAATATGGCCACCGTATCGGTAAAAAGGTCTATTCACTCAACATACAAGACTCAACACTGCACAACACAAAAATACGATGATAGAACGTCCTCGACTTACAAGTCAAAGTCAAGAAGCGTTTCATCACGCCACAACTGCTTTCACTTTTAGTTAATAAAAATTATCTCCTTCAGCAATTAAAAGAAAACCCTTTGTTGTCGACCAGCACCTCATGATTGGAGACCGTGGGGAGAACTATGGTAAAACCGAGCTGTTGATTTCTGGACATACATGATCCTTCGTATTCACACGATCCCATCCTAATAAACAGGCACTTACAATATTACCTTATCTTCACTTTTTGGCCCTAAAAGAGAGCGCTGAGGGTGACATAATGGGAATAGTCGATGCTTCCTCTTTGGGTTTTCTCCAAACCCACCATGAAAAACGGCGATTTATTGAACGATTTGAAATACATTTGGTTAAACTTCGAAACATCTTTATTCTCAAAAACAACAAATTTTACAGGAGTTCGTCAAACTTTTCCTTGCATTTTTCACGTGAGCGAAGGTAAGCAACTTCGCGAAAAAACGCGAAAAAATAAGGTTTGTTCTGCAGGCTATAAACACAGGGACTTTTAATAACTTGTAAGTCCTTTAGTCACTTCCAGTTACTCAATTTTTAACAAACGGAGAAAAAGAAAATTGGCCTTGCGTATTAGCGCGTGACCAGGCACCACTAAGTTTAGAGACATAACTTCCGGTTTCTCTCCCTTGTGATCAAGCTGTCAACGTATACATTTTTGGTGGAAGCGTACAACTCAGTTGACCATGTTTCGACACATTTGTTAGTCGTTTTTGAGATAAGACAACTAAAAATTGTTGTAAAACGAGTTTGAACAGGAGCCCATGACTATTATAGGCTCCTGG